AAAATTTTAGAGAAAAATATCTTGATTTTTGTGTATTTTACTTCAATACACTAAATACTAGTTACAGTTACAAAGAACATGAATGCTGAAGTTAAAAATTCAGATTATTAGCTTTAAAAAGAGACCAAGCATGTGAATTTACTCTAAAGGGTTCAAAAGCAGTACTTCATTTAATTTGTGTGTGCTTTTTAAGGTGTTTAATGGTACTTTATGCCTGAAGGTTAACGGGTTTTAATGTACTCCCAACATTTGTAAAACTGAGTTATACCCAGCTTTGGGTTTTCTAAAGTCAGTTTGTTGTGGTGGCCATCTTGATTGTGATTGGCTTTAAAAGTCAATCAGTTTTTGGTGGTTTATGAGATGCTTTGGTAACAGACACAGAAAAAAAAAGCATTATTGCCCGCCTTTTGGCAACATTTAATATTTGTATTATTTTTATGAGTCATAAAGAGATGGTTCATACATTTACGTAACAGTTTCATTGCACCACTCACTGACTCTACTGCAGCCCGGGGCCCTGCTAACTAAAAGACCAGGGAGCCACTCCAGTTTGGATGATTGTAATTAACATCTGGGCCAGACGGCATTGACTGAGGGTAACGATATGTTAAACGTATACATCACAACAAAGGATTATTAGATAACCTGTTTCTACAGCTACAAGCCTGTGACTGTCCTCAGCCTACAGAACACAATCAAGATGCTCTATTTGAAATAGAAGAATTTAAACATGTTCAAAAATATGTACAATATGCTGCCTTCAGGCCCAGGCCACCTTTGCAAAAGAGATCTGTGATCTCAGTGGGATTTTCTTGGTTAAATAACTGTAAATAAATCGTTTTAAAACGCATCATTAGATGYTACCTTTGATGATAAAGGTTTTAATTTGAGACAAAGTGCATTCTGGGAACTGGCTCTAGGGTGTCACATTTACTCTATATTCACACTGGTTTTACYCAAATAAAAAATAATAAAAATGAAAAAAATCAAATTAAATCTACTAAATGAATCAAACACCATGGTCACAGTAGCTTTGTGTTAAACCAAGGACACCCTTTCATTAGTTGGACCATTAAATTACAGGTTTGTGCTTTTGTAAAAAAAAATCTTCTGAATGTTTGTCACTCGCAGAAAGCAAAGGAAAGGATGAAAAGTTTTTTTACAAACTGCCCTGTCCCTTTCCCCCTCACATAATGCCACACTCMGCTTTTCTTTTCTATTTCTGTACACCGGTTTGAAATCCTGGGTTATTCCACTCCTCCTCAGATTCCTCACCTTTGTATCTCCACCTGCCTCGTCTTTCCTACTTTTATTTTGGTCCGTCCCACTGTCTTCTCCTCACTCCAGCCTCACTTCTTATTTTTCCTTCTTTCTTTCTTCTCCCCCCTTCCTCCCCCGGTCGCTYCTTCGTCGCTGCCCGAGGGGGTCCGGCTGTGTTCTTATCTGATGTGTTGAAATGTCAGCAGTACAAGGTGACAGAGGTGGAGGGGGCTGCCAGACAGCCTGTGAAACTGCTGGGTTACTTTGGTCCTGGGTATTGACTGACAGGCAGAACGTCTCTCCTAGCCTCGCCTCATTGTCTCTTTATGTCGTCCTCACAGAGCTTCCACCAGGGTGGGAGAAAATTGACGATCCAGTGTATGGGGTCTACTATGTTGAGTAAGTTGTGAAACACAAGGATGCTTCAGTGTTTTACTCATGCATTCAGAATAAAAATAAGTCACAAGTAATGCTTCTTCATGCTCATAAAAAAAACTGATTCACACATTTTCATTCCAACAAGAAGAACTTCTCACCTTATTGTAACCCAGAAACAATCGCAGCCAGATTGTGCCTCAGCTATTTAGAAAATTAGCATCCTGGCAAATGTAGGCCGTTTTGTTTGCATCATTACCATCTGGGAAAACAGCACGCATGTTTATATGTGCGTGAGTGTGTGTTTCATGTATCGGAGACGGCATGAAGCCGCTGGCCTGCACCATTAATACAAACATGTTTCACACGTTTTTGATGTTGTTCAAAGCAGCACCTGGGGGCTCAGGAATGAGACGTTTATGTTTTCTGTTTGCCTTTCCAATTTTTAKTTTTTGCTGCACGTTACTCACAATTGCCTTCATTTGCCATTTAATGCAGCGTTTCGAAGTTTCTATTTTATTTTAGTAAGGAGGCTCTTATTCCTTAGCAGYTTCCCCTACCACTGTACAAGGAGGGTGGCCTGTTCCCTCTAACAGAACCGACTGCCCCCCCCCC